TCATAAAGAGAGTTTAGTGAATTTTTTAAGTGTGTTCAAAGATGGGATTGCGTGCCGCTGACCAACGTCAGGACTTCACCCCATCAACTCAGGGGATCATGTCCTAATTCGGATTTCATTTTGAGTAGATTTTAGGTATAGGCTTCAAGATAGTGTGACCTCAAGTTGATTCCTGATCCCATTGCGCTGACTTCGTGCTCGCAACTTGGTCGTGTCGTCAGGCCAGCCTCAAATAAGGTATCCCGACCTGATAGTAGTCATGGTGATTTCTATCATTGGATCCTTGACTAGGTACATTTCCAACTTTTTTCCGACATTGTAATTTGCATCGCCACTGAGCCTTGCAATTCATAGAACCAAGCGAAACCTCGCAACGGGTACAAATGAAGTCCATCTCTTGATCGTCCATGCTAAATCCTGATGTATCCGCCTATTCTGTATACTCAAATCACACTACTACTTTATCTCAACTCTCCTTCGGTCAACCAGTCCGATAATAAAAAGGATTTTTGAGGGCAGAAGAGAGGAATTGATAGGAATTGGGATTAGTTGCTTGATGGTTGAAGAGTCAGGGCGAGCCTGCAAATCCGGCACAAATGAGGCTGGACCATAAATCACAGACAAATATGATTGCGCCTCACTAAGCCCGAGCTGAAGGCCGTAACTCTGGCGAAGATCTGACTAAACAGGTTGGAAATTGTAAATATGAGGTAGTGAGGAAGGCGGGTACATCAAGACAGAATTTGTAGAAACTTGGTCAAGGTAAAGAGTTGCCTTGCTGTTTGGAAGAGTTTGGGCTCAGTGTTTTTTTCTGGAACAGGATGCAGAAAAGGATGCGTTCTTCAGACTTTCCTTAAAATGTGTTTTGTGAGAGTTTTTGAAATTAATCGTCTTTATTTTGCTGCTAGCACCAATTCACAAATGATGTACATGCAAATTTTACTTCTATGTGAAAAATCGTATCACAACATTAAAACTATTTGTTATTTTTGTAGTTTCACTTACTTTCTTCCCTCGCCTAGCGGCTATTAACAAGGAGTGTTCCAAAAGACAACAGCCTTTGTCTCTGTATGGTGTTCTGGACTATTTTAGCTTTTCGGAGAGGCTAGGGAATATGAAATCTTTTTTACAAAAGGCTGGAGCGGCCAGGCAAAGAGTAATGGAACAGATGGTGAGAAGACTTTGGGAACTCGAGTACAACGCCTAGAATGCGAAAAAGTAGTTGGTATGTTTGTAATATTCCTGATTGGGACTTGCACACAATGCTTTATGGCGTATACAAATTTGTCGGATTTTGACCGCCCATATGCTGTGTCGATAAAATGAAACTAAAGAGAAGTTTGAATATTTGCTTGAGGAAATAATTACATTTACATTTCCCGTGATAAACAGAAACTCTTACAATATATCTATGGATAATGTGCAAATATGGCATTTATCAATGTGGACAATTGTAATGCAAAATACAAGTTTATATAATCATCAAATAGACGACTGTATATAAATATAAATATTTATTTATTTAGTTGTTTATTTATCATAAATCATATAAATATCATAGTATATATACTTTTATTTATTTATTTATATATCACAGCATATATATGTCATATGAAAAAATTTTATGAATTTAGAGAGGTTCGTCTTGCCGGGAAACTCACTTCAACTCTGTGGTTATGTGGCGAAGTGGCCACGTCACATGCTCGTTTCGACACTTGTTTAGAAGCTTTAGTGAGACCTAGACAAGCCCGAACCCGCTTTCAAAGCTCAAGTTAAGTGTCTTTTGGGCAACAAGGTTGAATGGAATTCAATATACTCGCGATATTTTCTACTCATTACTCTCGTCTTTGCATTGCCATGAGGCAGCCATGTCGACTAATGATATTATTCAGGCTTGAGCGAAATATTCTCGAGGGTTGTTTATTTGGGATAGCATTGAAAAGCGGTGAACTAATTCAAGAGCTGCGAGTTCAGTCAATTTTCTTTTAACTCTCAAATAAACGTGTCGAATTAATTGCCGACAAAGACTGATTGAATAAGTTCAGCCGTCGGAGAATGCATTTCATTGGATTCGACAGATCGACACGCAACCATCCTGAACCAAGTCTTCTTGAAAATCTGATCTTCATTCGAAGAAATATGATTTCAATGAAAAATAAGTAACCAAATATAGCATCATAGACAAACTCGTCAAAGGCCTACCTTTTGTAGCTGAATCACAGAAGAGAGGGTGTATACGAGAGGAACTGCCGAAGAAATTTGAGGATGTAATGGCTGCTCAATGTCTGTTGGCTCGATCTCAAATTGTACCATACGAGTCTCGGAAGCTCAGCTTTTCTGCAAAGTCGCCGCATAGTATTGTAACTGGTACGAACTGTAGTCACTCTATTTCGTCAAATTGACGAAGAATCCGTAATTAATATTTCATACAATTATATGCAGAGAAAGTACGTTTCCGTTTGCGAAACGGGGTGAATACATCTCAAATATTCGATCTACTGATAGTGACTAAAGCCTACTTATAAACGAAACATAAGTAGCATAGTCGAAGCCCATAGCAAATAAAACTTTGCTTTATCGGCATTCAAACCAAAGAATGTGGCTTGGCAAAATATCTGGCCTTCTTTGGAGCTCACATCTGACCCGTGACTCACGGGAACTCGTAGCAGCCTGGCGTAGTTGTTGACATGTCGAGAGTATACAGTGCACAGTCATGGTTTGAGTCCCGCCGGGGGTGCCGAGGAGGCAAGTTGAGGTGAAGTCGAAGCTGATGTCCACCTCGGCCTGAATAAGGAAGCTTTCTGGCCCACAAAACTGGCTCATCTTCAATGGAAATGTGGGGCCTACTTAAATGATTGTGTGAAAATTCAACTGCCAGTCCTTCATCCTCTTTCCAGAATATACATTTCCTAAATATGATCAAGTGATAGTCTCGAGAACCTACTTATTATAAACGAAAAGTAGTACCTTTTATTTTGTTCGGAAGGACGGGTGGATGTCATTCATATACTGACTTTACCGAACAGCTTGCCGACGTGAATAATGAGTTGTGGAAAGAAATCTGAGCACAGTCTTGACACTTCAATTATTGTTGGTTGTAAAGCTCGCTTACGGAAATGTGTTTCTCCTGAGGATAGCTTTTAGGACTGAATAGTCCCAAGCTCATCTCCGCTTGACCGAGGCCGTGGCTCTGCTTTACACTAGTCCAGAGTTGCAAGTGCAAGGCTCTCCTCATTTGTTTTCCGAAGTGGCAAATTTGCGAGTCACCTCCATCGTCCTTTTCAATCTGGAGCAAATGTACCACAACAGGAATGGACTAACGACTCCTTTTAAACACAGCTCCACCGATTACTCGAATCAAACCCTGAAAATTTACTAATTCCAGGGTTATACTCTCTAATTTATCCCGCATAATTTGGACTCCGGACAGGGTGCCATCCTCCAGGTCAGCCAATATGACCAAGTTGCTCTGTCAATGTCATCTAACTTTAATACAGTCTGATAGAATTGCATTCGATTTTGCGTAGAGAATAAAAGTGGCCGCTTCCGATCCAATGACGATCCCGTTGACAGCTGCCCAACTGGAACTGCCAAATTTGGGCAACGCCTCGAAATTGTAATAAATCTGTAGGACAGGAGACGAGTTCTAAGCGCATGTGGCTTGTGATCGTCTCACCTTCTTCATTTCGTACAGGACGGCTTCTCGTGTCCTCACAACTGCGGTCCCTATTGGCTAAATCAACAGGTCCCAGATCTCCTTTCTGATTGGCCAATGCGCAGGTGAGTTCCATGTCCGAACGGGTGACTGTTCCAGCCGAAGGAAGCAGCATGCGTAATCGAGGATGGGGATGAATAGCTGGACGTTTTTATTACCGAATGTCGTCGCAACTAACTGTCTCTCCATCTGAGCCAGTGTCGGCTTGTGCTGAGCAGGTTATGGGGCACATGTTGGCAAGTCTGACGACTGGATCGAGCTCAGGACAAGCTGTAAGATGTCTCATGAAACGCTATTTTGCTCGGCGTCTTGTGGAACGGGAGAAGCAAGAAAATAAGAACGCTCAACGAATGTGAATGCAATTAAGTCATTGTGTAAATGTAAATTGAAACTGTCTCTGAAAAGGAGCCGTTAGTCGATTCCTGTTCCGGTACATTTGCTCCAGATTGAAAAGGACGATGGAGGTGACTTGCAAATTTGCCACTTCACAAACCAAATGAGAAGAGTCTTGCACTTGCGACTCTGGACTTGTGCGAAGCAGAGCCACGGTCCCGGTCAAGCGGAGATGAGCTTCGGACTATTCTGTCCTAAAAGGTATCCTCAGGACATACACATTTCCGTAAGCGGGCTTAACAACCAACAACAAATGAAATGGCAAGACTGTGCTCAGACTTCTTTCCACAACTCATCAGTCATGTCGGCAAAATGTTCGGTAAAGTCAGTATATGATTGACATCCACCCGTCCTTATGAACGAAATGAAAGATACTACTTTTCTCCTTTAATAAGTAGGTTCTCGAGACTATCGCTCGATCATATTTAGGAAATGTATATTGTGGAAAGAGGATGAAGGACTGGCAGTTGAATTTTCACACAATCATTTGACTAGGCCCCACATTTCCATCGAAGATAAGCCAGTTTTGTGTCCCAGAAAGTATGCTTATTCAGGCCGAGATGGACTGCAGCTTAGACCTTGTAGAAATTGTTATCTTCTTATTTACATGCTTCCCAATCTCGGATGTAAATACAATATAGAATGCGGATAGCAAATATTAAATCATTGCCGGCACTGATCAGGCTGTTTTTCCGTTCTAAGATTTTCAATGCTAAGACAGTTTTTCGTTTAATATCGAAATAAATGTCTCTCACTAATTGATGGATCTTAACTCAATCTCATTAGGCTACACTTAAGATGATGAATTAATCCATAGGCAATGCATAAAATCAAATAATGTTTTAGTAATCTTTGTTTCGTTTTACAATTATTTGGTAACTTGCCCGCTCATTTAACTGAAGGAGGATTACCGTA